TGTTTTCTGATTTGTTATTTTGTTTTCGAATTTGTCATTGTGTTTTCTGACTTGTTATAATGTTTTCTGAATTGTTGTTGTGTTTTCTGAATTGTTATTTTGTTTTTTAGACTTGCATTTGCGTTTGTAATTTGTTATTTTGTTTTCAGAATTGTGATTTGTTTTGCACTTCTCGGTCACCCCAACGACTTGCCTGCAGTTCATATAACGTACATGCAAGTTTCATAACTTCTCAAATACACTTTAAACTAACGTTACGTTACAGTAAAAATTCTGAAATTAGTACCTCCTCCTCCACCTCGTCGGGCTCTCCATATGTGACTACTTTTCTTTCAAAAACCATAATTGTATGTCGTAAATTCACACTTAAACACAATAAAGGTGCAAAATCTGGCTGAAGCTGAACAAGGAACGTTATGAGAGGAAAATATGCTGAGACGCGAATTTATGATTTCTACTATGGTGAAGGATTGACTTATGAATATTAAATAGGAACGGTATTGAATTATTGCAATCAACGTCAGTATGAGCTTATTAATATCCATGAGTTAAGCCTTCGCAATAGTAAGTAGGGGCTCACAAAGAACCTTTCTGGAACGTTCTTACGTTATAATCGCTTTATAAAGACCCACATTATATTGTTGGTAACAATTTGTTGATTGATTAATTATTTAAAAAATCTTATTTTGTTATATTTACAAAAAAATCGTATTATGTACGCGCGAATATTATGAAAATGAGCTAATAATTGAAACCAGTGTGTGAATTCAAGAATGGGTTTACGCCACTTATTTGGACTGCTTGGCTAAATGATTTATTATATGATGTTTTGGTTTGGTTTTTAATAAAATAGCGTTATTATTATAGTGGATAAATATAAAACATGATAGTGGAACCAATGAGCACAAAAACAACGGAGGCTTTTTGATGATACACAAACATGGCAGCGTACGTATGCATGAGATTCCCTTTCATGGGAACTTCGAACTGTGTTCTACTCAGGGAACCATGGTTACATATGTAACCTGAGACGTTTTGTATAAACAAGGCTCGATTAGATTTATTCAGCGACGGTATCGAGTTAAAACTAAATGGGTAAGTAAAGAGGTTGCATTCCTTTTCAAAATAAAAACAAAGTGTCAGAAATAGATAGCATAAAATGATATCGTGTTCCTCTGTATTAGGCAGCAACAAGGCCCAAGTTTCCAGCCACTGAACCTGCTCTGCACAACTTTGACACAAGCTACAGTAAACAGTTATGGGACCTATTGCCCTCTATTAGAGTTGCCATGCTGTGTGAACAAAAGTATGGAGCGCTGATAAACAGTTTCTCTTCAGCACCCAATGTAATAACCGAATTAGAAGCTCAAGGATGTAAAGACTTCATCAGTATTTACTGCACCAGAAATGAAGTCCATCAATCTTCACAGGACTCCACGACTTCACACAGAGACTCGACAGAGCTGGAACCTGCTGCTCTTCGACCCAGTATAAGTCCCGATATAAAATGTCTTGTTTTCCCCAAAGGAGACATATCTAGATTTAAGCCAGCTAGGTGAGAATTACTAAAAATGGTCATTTCCTCTGCCGTGTCCTAAGTTGATTGTTTAATATATCTGTCCTATTAACTTAGACCTGACAGCAGTGGCATATTGGGATATTATCTTCTGGATGCTGCCTCAGTGCTGCCTGTTCTAGCATTGGACATCCAGCCAGGACACACAGTATTGGATCTATGTGCAGCTCCAGGAGGGAAGACACTTGCTCTCCTGCAGACACATTCAGTCAGTATGTGAACTGCCATATTGCCAACACTCAAAGCATTTTAATGGAAGGGATGCAGATGATATAAGCATGTTTTTTTTCTTTTTCAGATTATCTGTGGGCGAATGACCTGTCAGGTTCCCGCACAATGCGATTACGCAGGACACTTCAGAGCTACCTGCCTAAAGAGTTCCTGGATGAAAACAAAATCCACATCACTTCCACGGATGGTCGGCAGTTAGGCATGACAGAGAAGAAAAGCTTTGACAGAGTTAGTATTGGGCAAAATGTCTGGAAAAGAATGGCATGTTTTGTGAAGTAAAAGAGAATTCCATGTTATACTAACAAATACAAATGTTACAAAAAAAACATACAAATGTTAGGATGTGATTGAATCGCGATATGATTTGATAAAATGATTACATTTGCAAAAACAGTCAACAAAAATACAAAGTTTGAACAAGAGATACAGTTTACATCTTTCTTATTTCTGCTTTAACGTATATTTCATGCTGGTTCTAGTTTCTACCTTCTTATTGATCATTACTTATCAAGAAAATAAAGAGAGACAGTACTGCATAGCTGAATTTTAAAAATTGAATAAAATTACATGGATTAGGTAAAATATAGTTTTATAATATTTAATATAAAGATATATTCTTTAGGCATTAACTCAATTTAATGTGGTTTTACTAATGTACTGAGGTGGCATTGTTGTTAACTTACAACAATGTAAGGAAAAGATGATCATTTGGTGGATGATTAAAAATATTCATTAGTCACCCAGTAGGTAGTGTACAGGTGCATCTCAATAAATTAGAATGTCGTGGAAAAGTTCATTTATTTCAGTAATTCAACTCAAATCTTGATGCCTTGACCCCAGCCTCAGTCCATTCCTTGTGAAGTTCACTCAAATTCTTGAATCGATTTTGCTTGACAATCCTCATAAGGCTGCGGTTCTCTTGGTTGGTTGTGCATCTTTTTCTTCCACACTTTTTCCTTCCACTCAACTTTCTGTTAACATGCTTGGATACAGCACTCTGTGAACAGCCAGCTTCTTTGGCAATGAATGTTTGTGGCTTACCCTCCTTGTGAAGGGTGTCAATGATTGTCTTCTGGACAACTGTCAGATCAGCAGTCTTCCCCATGATTGTGTAGCCTAGTGAACCAAACTGAGAGACCATTTTGAAGGCTCAGGAAACCTTTGCAGGTGTTTTGAGTTGATTAGCTGATTGGCATGTCACCATATTCTAGTTTGTTGAGATAGTGAATTGGTGGGCTTTTGTTAAATGTGAGCCAAAATCATCACAATTAAAAGAACCAAAGACTTAAACTACTTCAGTCTGTGTGCATTGAATTTATTTAATACACGAGTTTCACAATTTGAGTTGAATTACTGAAATAAATTAACTTTTCCACGACATTCTAATTTATTGAGATGCACCTGTATTCATTCAAATGTAGTCAAAGAAAAATGTACATATGTGACGAAGATGTTTGTCTGACAGTTCTCCAACGCACAGTGTAAGTCAGCATCTGAATTTGCTCTTTCCATTTTGTTACCTCCTTTCTGATATAGTGCACTCAACTGCCTTACACTATATAGGGGCTAGTGAACAAGTGAGCTATTTCAGTCAGATGCAAGTATGTACACTACTGCTCAAAAGTTTGGAGTCTGGATGATTTTATTTTTTTTTTATTTAAGAAATTCATACTTTTGTTTAGCAAGGACACATTAAATTAAAAAAAAATGACAGTAAAGACGGAAGTAAACAATGTAACAAAATATTTCTATTTCAAATAGATGTTTTCAACATTGCTAAAAACAAGAAATGTTTCTTGAGCACCAAATAAACATATTAGAGTGATTTCTGAAGGATCATGTGACACCGAAGACTGGAGTAATAACTGCTGAAGATTCAGCTTTGTCATCACATGAATAATAGAAAAGTTATTTTAAATTGTAAAAATATTTCCCAATGTTATGTTTTTACTGTAATTTTGATCAAATAAATGCCCTTGTTGAGCTTAAGAGACTTCTTGCATAAACAGTGTAAAGTTTTGCTGGCCCCAAACTTTTAAATGGTTGGGTTATACTGCTGTACTTTACCAGCACCATGTATTTACATTGTGTTCTCTTGATTGTCACACTGGTATATCATGGGTGATGTCACTAACGTTTCAAAAATATCTAACATCTGATATTTGTATGGTTACAGCATGCATCTCTGCCAAGCATATGATAGCAGCACAAATCTGGACATTGTGCCATTACCTTCAGTTCATCTTCCATCTTTTTACAGGTGCTTGTAGATGTCCCCTGCACCACAGACAGACACTCTGCAATGGTGGAAGAGAACAATGTTTTTAAGAGGTCTAGGACCAAAGAGAGACAGAAACTTCCCCTCTTGCAAACACAGCTGCTTCTGTAAGTATTTTTTTAAATGGTGCAAAATGCACAGCAAGCAATATAATATTAATATATTAATATATATTATTCATTCACTGGGAATTTTTAAAATATTTTGTTGAATGTATTTTGTGTTATGTGCATGTGTCCGTGAAGACTGACTGCGAACTGACATCTAATCAATCTGATGTTTCATGTTCTGCCCAGGTCTGGGATCCAAGCCACGCGACGGGGTGGAAACGTAGTGTACTCTACTTGTTCCCTGTCCCAGCTGCAGAATGAGTGTGTGGTGCAACAGGCCATAAGTCTCGCTCAGCAGGAGCTGGGAATCACAGTGCAGGTTCAGGACCTCGGATGGTTTGCGCAACGCTTTTCTGACACTTTCCACTTTGCGCCACAATTAAGTGTCGGGGAGTTGGTTTTACCACACCTGTGTGCTAACTTTGGACCAATTTATATGTGTAAATTACAACGAATGAACTAGATGGACATTCAGAAATTAGCTCGACTGACATCACACGTTTGTGCTTCAGTAGTGCCCCCTAGTGACCAGACATGTAACTTTTTCAGCCAATAAGACAGACATAAATCTACCTTGAAACATTATATTGTTGTAAATGTAATGATGTCATTAGCATTATTTTGTAAATTGTTATTTGATTATCAGATTTATTAAAGTTAAATATGGCGCAAAAAGACCAAAACAGCCTATGTAGAACAGGGGTGCCCAAACACGGTCCTGGAGGGCTAGTGTCCTGCAGGATTTAGCTCCAACCCCAATTAGACACACCTAAACCAGCTAATCAAGCTCTTATTAGGCATACTAAAATCTTCCCACCAGGTGTGTTGAGGCAAGTTGGAGCTAAACTCTGCAGGACACCGGCCCTCCAGGACCGAGTTTGGGCACCCCTGGTGTAGAACATTGAAAAGCTAAAGCCAACATTCATGCTATGGTGACAACTTAAGTCAACTAAAAAGAATGATCCGATTCAGGAGTGGATGGAGCATGCAGCGATTTTGAAAATGTTTTCTGTGAATCCTGTTTATAGTTATGATGTTGTTCCCATGATTGGACAGTAGGGGGCGTCCACAGACCGTTATAGAACTGACCATTAGCTGTTAAAAGTAGAAGAAACAAATGAGATTGACTTTGTCTTTCCGCATGTTTC